GATTAAAATAGCTTAATAATATTATGAGTAAATTAATATTTATAAAATATTTTATATAATTTGATGAGTTGAAAATATTTTTAAGAAGGTAGTTAAATGTAAAGATTGATTATAAAATATTTTACATAATTTTTAATAAAAAGAAAATTGGAGAAAAGCAAAAAGACGTGTTTCACGTTTTTTTGAGATTTCAAGGAACAAGAAAAACAAAAGGCATGTAAACCTTGTTCTTGGTTGTGGTCTTTTGTACAAAAAAAGTTATTACACTTATTATAACATATTTTCAAATATTTTTTTAATTATGTATTAAAAATATTTTTAATTAAAAAGCTTAAACTATATAGAAGGTTTTTAAATAATTTTATATTATTTTTTAATTTATATTTTGAATTGAGTTTTCTAAATTCAAAATTCATTTAGACCTATACTGTTTTTGGCATCATATTCTAATTTTTTAAAAATATAAAATATAAAATCATGATTATTTAATTATTCTAATTTTATATTTAAAATATTTAATCTATCATTTAAAATTTTAAAAATAATTTTATATTACTTTAACACTGGATATGGCTATTGAAATCCTTTCCATCAGGGGTTGATAATTCACATCATTTATTTATCTCCTGATATTTTCACAAGTTCTGGGTTAATCTCAAGGTATTTTTTAATTAGCCTTTGTTGCGAATCTTTAAAATATTTTTTTAGAAAAGATACATCTCTATGTTTTGCCCATGACTACACACACACTTTAAATCACGATTTTAAAACCAAAGCTATGTTTGTAGTTCATCCAGATATAGATTACATAACATGGCCTCGGATTGCTTGACATCAAGCCAACTAATTTTAATATTAGAGTTAGCCATCACCTGCACATCGAGATTTTGTTGCCATTAACATACTAGCATATTCTTTGTTATCTTTTATTTTATTTTATTTTTTAATATATTGGAAGACTCCATGGATCATGGGTTGCACGAGGACAACCCTCTCCCTTTATGAATCTCACCTTACAAACCCGAAATCACCAAATGGAGATCCGGACTCTTTTAACTTTCACATGCATTGGTTCCAATATTCTATCAAATAACGAAGGTATTTTTTTCTCGAGAATTGGAGAACTTGAAACACATTTATAAATGAATTTGAGTGTGAAAATTATATGATCTCTAAATATATATGTTTTGTTTCACTCTCCAGTCGATTCTTTAATGAATATTTAAATTGAGAATAAAATCCATTGTACGAATGAATCTCCTAAAATCCTTATAAGAGGTTAATTTATTGATCTCCTTCATTTACAGGTAACATCATTTAAGTGCGGTGGTTTTGCAATGGGCATATCAACCAGCCATGCAACATTTGATGGGATAAGCTTCAAGACCTTCTTGCAAAACTTGGCTGCCCTGGCTGGTGGCAAACCCCTGGCTGTCACTCCCTGCAACGACCGTGAACTCCTAGCTGCTCGATCTCCACCACGTGTCACCTTCCCTCACCCTGAATTGGTCAAACTTCAGACTCACCTGGGCCAAGAATTGAATGCTCCAGTCTTTGATGCCGCCCACGAAGCCCTAGACTTCAAGATTTTCCGGCTAACTTCCGGCAACATCTCCGACATGAAAGAGAAGGCCAAGACAAGTCCAAGCGCCCGCGTTTCTGGGTTTAATGTGGTGACTGCTCATATTTGGAGATGCAAGGCACTGTCACAACCGGAAGCCCAGGATCCCGATAGAGTGTCAACAATTCTCTATGCGGTCAACATTCGGCCAAGGTTGATCCCTCCTTTACCAGAATCATATGCTGGAAATGCTGTGTTAACTGCTTACGCAAATGCTACGTGCAAGGAGCTGCAAGAGGGGCCAATCTCTAAACTGGTGGAGAGAGTGGCAGAGGGTTCAAAGAGAATGACTGACGAGTATGTGCGGTCTGCTATAGATTGGGGTGAGATTCACAAAGGATTTCCGCATGGAGATTTCTTGGTATCATCTTGGTGGAAATTAGGATTTGATGAAGTGGAATATCCATGGGGGTGCCCCAGGTACAGTTGTCCTGTGGTGTACCACAGAAAGGATATTATCTTGCTTTTCCCGGATATCGATGACAAGAATAGCGTCAATGTTCTGGTTGCCCTGCCCAGCAAGGAAATGGAAAAGTTTGAAAGCCTCTTCCACAAATTCTTATCGGCTTGAATTTTCCGTATGAAAGTGGAATTTCATATTACTAAGTTGAATAATATAATGACCAATACCTATAGTTTGCTTGCTGCTAGATTCTGCCATCAAGAATAAAGGAAGAAGGAAGAAGAATTACTTCCGACGACGACGGGCAGTCAATCACTAATATACACACACGCTCCTGGTTTTTTTTTTTACTTTTTTAATTTAAGCGTGTTGTTGTATGTTTGTTTTTTATCGCTTTCTGAATGTAAAGTGAATATTATCTAGAGAAATGTTTCGCCAGCTGCATGCGTGAAATATTTACTGATTGTGGAGAAAAATAATTTGTAAGATTAGAAAATAATCGGAGTGGAATTATGAGAACATTAAAGGAATTATTTGGCATTGGTAATCATGATCTGCTTGTATTAGACAGGGGTTGAAGATGGATGTTGCCTATCGCAGGAGACATGGCTCTGAGATTGGACTGACATCATAAGAGTACTGGGAGATACCTTTCCGACATCCGAGTTTGCTTCGCATACATCAACTTCTGTGATTCAGGAATGTCATGATGCATCCACGTATGAATTAAATAGCTCAACTTATCAAATTTAATTTTTTTTTAAAAAAAATTAAGTATTACAAATTTTGAGATTACTGAAACCTATATAATTATTAATTATAAAATTCGAATAGAATCAAGATTCGCAAACTAGCCTAAAAAAAGTACAAGCAGAGGCCTCAGGAATATTTAAGAGAATTGGGTGTTATGATTTGATTGATTTAATTAATCCATGTGTTTTCCAGGATAAGCCTCGAATTAAGAGAGGCGTGTTCTTTCCGTCTATAAATGATAGTTCATGTTAGATGGGCTAGGCACCGAAGATGCTAATTAGAAAATTAATTTCATGTAAAGCCAAAAGCTAGATGCACGAGTTATTTCTAGATAATTTACTCTTGAAGATGCTCTGCTACAATGAGCCTTGAGAAAAAAAAATATGGAGCGTATGAATGGGAAGTGTCAAGGGGCCTCTTTCCTCCATAGCAACCCATATAGTTAAATATTAGGACCTGTCATCTTGTGTATTTGGGCTATCCTCAAAGAGTCCAAAGATTCTCATGACAAGTCCAAGTCCGTCAGCAAGTTGTAGGCTCCTTTAAACCCTGGATTGGAGCGCTTGGGTAGTGTTTCATTATTGTTTTTGGAATAGAAAGACAGAGACAATAGAGATACAGAAAATAAGACAGGATGAAGATGGAAACAAAATTATATTTGATAGTGATGTATAAAATAAGATGATTGTTTTTATATTTTATTTGGTTGTGATGAAAAAAACATAATAAAAGATGAAAAAAACAAATTATTTGTAATATGTATTTTTATTAAAGTTTTATATTTTTTTTTAAAAATAATTAGATATGATTATTTTTTTCACTTTAGTTTGTATTGGGTATTGAAATTAAGAATATTAGTTATAAAATCAAAGCTGACTTTATAAATTGACTTGAGGCCTAGATTAGTTTAAGTTCACAAAAAAATAAAAAAGAATGATTGACTCGATCTTGTCTAATTAAAATCGTAGGTCAATCATGGATAAAATATAAGTAAAAAACTTTTTGTTTTTTGAAAAAAAATAATGGTTAAAACAAGATTTTTTTAATTGAAAAAAATTAATGGATAGTTCTCCTGATGAGTGAGCTGAATTTTGTATTAAATGAATTCTTGAGTTGAATTTTAAAATTATATTAATAATTTTTTTTTGTTAATTAACTTATATCAATTCATGCTACTTCTCTTCACCCGTTATGCAGGCCCTGCCTGCCTGATAAATCTGAATAAAATTTTAAAACTATATTAATAACTATTTTTGTATTAATAATTGACGCTGAAATATGTGGTGGCTTTACTGGATGTTGATGTTGAATCGAGTGGTTTAAAATGAGGCCGGGTTTATCTGGGTCCAGTGTCTATCCACTACAGTGGACCAAAAAGTTCTCCGGAGCCTTTTGGGTTTCCACTTTCCAGCATGTTTTTCACTTTTTGATAAAAAAACCACCATGCTATGGGATAAATTTACCGATTTGATACAAGGGCAGATTTAGGTTTCCGGTATGTATTTTGCTTTTGGATCGAAAGGTTATGAGAAAAATTTACTGAATTGACACAAGGACAGGCGGGAAAAATTTATGGGAGAAAGTTGTTATTTGAAAATAAAAATCTACGTCTCCTTATCCATGGAGATAATTTTCTAAAAAATGAAGATATTTTCTGAATTTGAATTCGACCGTGACTTTTGAACGCCTTGGACTATCTTAAAACATTCTCGAGGAAGAATCTACAAGGGAGATGGCCTCTCTCTTTTGGGTATTAGATTCTTGACAAGATTGGATATCGTCGTTGAATGTGGCTGACTTTTGCTCACTCCTGCTAGCAAATTTTACTTTATTCCCTGGTTTCAGCTAACTCCTTGCATCTCTTGCTAAACACCACGCGTTTCATCAACTATCCCCTGTCCTAGTGGCGCCAGCTTCACCTTGTTCTCTGTCAACGCCCCTCAAATCATGAATATAGGAGGACAAGGTTGCTATAAATTAAGTATACATTTATTTTGGTGGGACGCTTCAGCTAGCTCATATATACTGGAGAATTGTTGAGTTGAGATTATGTTTTGCTGGAAAAAATAAAAATAAAGCAAGGGATGTGGACGCTGTCTGAACATATATAGAGAAGCAAATTATATTGCTGATGTATAAGTTGCCAGTTTCGGGTTTGCACAGTGTAACACGTAGTTACTTTTTTCTCAAGCATGCATGAGCAATCTAGCTGTAGCACATTTTATCCAATCATGTTGTTAGTGGTGTCTTTTCTGAAGTGTTTTTTTTTTTTTTTTCTAGATTCTGTATTCCATTGTCCATTGTTGTTATATATTGTTGGTGGTTTTGAAATATTCTATTTTTCAGTCAAGTGCGTGATTTACATTGTTCTAATTGGTTCCTTAATTTCGATTTATTTCCTTTTAGTTAGGCAATCCATGCCATTTTTTAAATGTTTTTGCTGTCTCCTGATAGTTGTGGATGGAAAAAAAGACTTGATAAGAAATCTAAGAAAATAGTACCTAATTGAAAATCTTTTCTAGGGATCTATCATGATCATAACAAATTTAGAGTCTAAATTGTATTTTTTGCAAAAATATATACGGTGTGTCTACAATTTTAAGAAATTAAATTGTTCCCACACCTGAATTCAGAGATTAATTTGAATCTTATTAGAAAAAAAACATCCAAGCACACAATTGCCAGGCATGTGATAAATTTCTTTGTACCTTTGTACTGTGAAAAAATTCCGAGCCTTAAATTATTTCCGGAGAAATATGATTTTGTGGATTTCTATGGGGAAAAAAAAGAGGCAAGTATTAAATTATCAGAGTGCATTTATTGGAGTACATTTAAATTACCAGCATGTCTCATAATTAAATAGAATAAATTAATTTTGCTCCAATGTTTCAAATCTCTCGTTCCAATCTTTGCATTGGCTAATAGATAGATCAGTACAAAATATGATCAACTCTTTGATGTTTTGTTTTCTTGATATGTAAACTATTCATATGTATATATACACATGATTGGCCTCCATTTAAGGACCAAACCAATTCCATATTTCTTCAAGTGCTGCATATAAATGACATTATTAGTTTCGTGGAGATCTATCCACAAGATAAGAAAAAATTTGCACTTGGAAATCCCGTGGAAGTTGAAAAATATCCCAGAACTCATCAAAAATGAAATATGATAATTCTAATGCTAAAGAAAATCACTTTTTCTTATATATTTTTAAAACGTTAACATGAAAGAAATTAACACAGCAATTCAACAAATACCTTCTTAGTTTTTTTTCCCCTAATAGAACAAGAAATTATCCATTATTCTTCTTGTATCCTCCAAATTAAACTCAAGTTTCAAATAATATCCTGGAATTCTATCATCTTAGGTAGATACCTAGCGCTATGTTGGGTGTGTTTACACTAGGTAGAAGGGCTTCGAGATCCTTGCTTATTTTGAACATCGCGGGGAACTTGGAGGGGGGTTGGAAAACGTGAATCTGGCTCTTTTTGAGAACAAAGACCACAAGACCAGGTGAAAAATGGAACTGGCTTTGTTTAATTTTGAGAAAAGCGAAAAAGGTGGCCTCCTTTATTCTACTTGGACTGCTAATGCAATTGAGTTTGAGCCGTCGAGGCATCACCAGGACTGCTAATGCAATTTGGACTGCTAATGCAATTGAGTTTGAGCCGTCGAGGCATCACCACAAGCCCAAAACGTCATCTAGGAATCCCCAAAAGAGAAGAAAAGAAAAATAATAATTTTGCAAGGTAGATTCTGTTGACAGCATTGCAGTAAATAAAATAAAATAGATACCACAAAAGAGTGTATAAATAGCTGTTGTATCTTCTTAAATTGTTGCAAAAAATCAACTAACATTCATTCAACAACTCAAACTGTATTTGCATACAAGTTGATCGGTGCTGTGCAAGAATGCCTAGGGATAGAGAACCTCTTAGTGTTGGCCGTGTTATAGGAGACGTGTTGGACCCCTTCACAAGATCTATGTCCCTCATGGTCAATTACAATTCTAGAGAGGTTAACAATGGTTATGAGCTCAAACCCTCCCACGTTGTCAACCAGCCCAGGTTTGTTATCGGTGGGGAAGATCTAAGGACCTTCTACACTCTTAGTGTTGGCCATGTTATAGGGGACGTGTTGGACTCCTTAGGCAAGTTCTTTTGGGTATCAGATTCTTTTTTCTTTTTTCTTTTTCTTTTTTTTAGGTATCAGATTCTGGACAATATCGGTTATCGTCATTGAATGTGGCTGACTTGTGCTCACTCGTGCTAACAAATTTTACTTTACTCCCAGGTTTTAGCTAACTCCTTGCATCTCTTGCTAAACACCACGTGTTTCATCAACGATCCCCTGTACTAGGCCGGGTAGATATCAAGTTTCAGGGTGAGTAGAACAACATTTAATACCTGTATGAAAAGTCGGCGTTGTCCTTTTAAATTTGATTCGACCCGAGGTCATGCAGAGGCAGAGCCGTATTCATTACCTGTCCGAAAGCTCGACTTTGCTCTTTGACATTTTACTTGAACTTTACTCAAACCCAGCTAAAATTAAACAGCTATATATAAAATATTTAAAATCATTATGATTGGCTTAACAAGGCATCTATTGATTGTGGGTATGCTGAGATGGAGACTGGCCGTGGCTTGGCAGCCCAGCAATGCATTTCCATTTTAGGACAGTTCTCGCGCTCGGAATAATGGTGTTATCAAGAAGAAGAGAAAAAAGTGAAAGGTGAGAAAGAAAAAGCAACCAATGAAATAGATTTTCGAATA